CACATCACAGTGGAGTCAGCTGTCTTAACCGTGGCTTGTGTACTGCAAACACATATTCATCACTGTGTCTGTCACGAGACTCTGTTCCCCTTTCGGGCTCTGTCTTTACATTTATTTTGAAAGATGAAGCTCGCGATTATGGTAAGGGGCGTTACATTTCCGACGAGTGCTTGCGGTGTTCGGCTAATCACAATGCACTGGGTCAGCTGGCCAATCAGAGCAGACTGCGCTTGTCGGAAGGAGGGACTTTGTAGAAAACTAAGCGTTTGAGAGAGGCGAGGCATAGAGGACTTACAATAATGTACAGTATTTGAAAAATAAGGTGTTTTTTGAACATTAAAGCATGTCAACATATTCTGTTACACCAAATACACAAAATAATGATCTTTTAAAAAGCATCATATGACCCCTTTAAGACCTTTTTAAGCCTTAATTTGTGGAAGGACGAATTAAGACTTTTAAAGGCCCTTTTAAGACCTGCAGAAACCCTGTAAATATATAGTTTACCTGTACGATCAGAATTCATACGAATTGCCCAAATAGTACAGGCACAGCTTTGTAATATATTTGTTTACATTTTGGATTGGTCGTATAAGGGCTTTAGCCCCTAATTCCCAATACAGAGCGGAACCACAAGACCGTAATAAAATGACCTTGATAAACCAAATGCTAATTGCACATGTGATAAGAAGGCTAATTCACACGAGAACGATATTTATTTCTCAAGAACACTGTGTATCTATGAACAAACACAGAGGTACGGCCGAACTCAATGTAAGCTGCACATAGATATTACGATTTGTAGATGCATTTGCCTGCAGCGTTAATAAAGGTATGAGTGTATGTGAGTAGGCCTGTCGCAATAATCAATATATCGACTTATCGCACAATATATGTACATGACCTCAATCATTTTTGGTGACGCAATATATCGCCCATTATATTTACTTAAAAATTTATGTCACCATGTTTTTTACATTCCACTTGCGCCTGTGTCTTTTGCAGCTTCTCGTACATAATGTGGTGTAGTTATGAGGTGCTAGTTCAAATTTAAAAAATGCTTCTACAAAGATATGCCCTTGTTTAGGGATCTGTGTCTTTGTGCATACAGACATCTGACTGCTAAGTAGTGATTGTGTTTTTCAGCAATAGTGTGCACCCTTCATTTACAGAGAAAAGAAGGTCCGGGAAAAATCTGTAGATGGAAAAATCTCCATACACGTTCTTTGTGCATTTTTCTTTTTTTTCTACTTGTTACTTTTTGTTAGAAAATGTTTATTTACTATTTATTCAAGTTTTTAAGGGATCTAATCTTTTGCTACTTCATTTCCATCATCTAAATATTCTTAAAAATTAAAAGTTTGTTGTCATTTGGAAGTGTGAATAGGCCTTCTTGCATTATTATGCTGTTACATTATGATTATATATTCAGTCTTTAAAATGACAATATATCGTTTATTGCAATTATTTCTAGGGCAATATATCGCACAACAAAAAGTCTTGACGGGCCTATATGTGAGTGTGTGTATGTGGCAAGGTGTGGATTTGGTTAGTCTTTTTGTAGTCTACTTCAAAGTTAGGCCTTTTGAGAAACGGTTTTCTCAACAAATGTTACATTCTTCAAACCAAAAGAGATTCATGCATAACCTGATGCTAAATGCTTTGTGGAGGTCTTGTGTAGGATGCTTGTGGAAAGGTGCACTGGGAATATATCTGCAGCGCAGTGAATGAAGGACTATCAGAGCTTTGTAGAGTCTTCCCACACATCTTCATCAGAATAGGCACTGTGGCCTGGTATGTGTAGTAAGGGTCACAGTTACTGCACAGACACTCTGTGTCCCTCCAGGCGAATTATTTAACAGGGAACACGTGCCTGACAATGGAAACAGGTATCAGACGAGAGCTCGGTCTCATGACAAGACTGTCGCGGATCGCTCCCAGCGCTAAAAACAGAAGCGATCTCTACGCACTGAACATACCAAACATACCAAACGATAAAACCGGACTGAAGAAACAGCTCATCACGGTACAGCCCCTAAATACCAACCAAGGACGGACACGTATTTCGTAATGCATGTTGCCGATGCATTATTTCCTACTGCTCTCAAAAGCTTTAGGAAGTGAAGTTGAAAATCATTTACTCTTCCAGATTTAGCTCAAAAGGAAACACAAACATAGATGTTAAAACTTTCGCGTGCAATTGCTTTTTCAAGGCAAAAAAACTACTAAAGAACTAGGTGACACTTTAAAATAAGCTTCTACAAATTAACATTAGTTAACACACAGTTGAAATAACAACGAACAATTTTGCAGCATTTTTTAATCTTGGTTAATGGTGATTTTTCCATATACTAATAGAGCGTTGCAACCCAGAAGTTACCATCATCCAGGTTTCCTCGGTAGTTACTTGGAAGTGGCTTTTGGATTACTGCACGAAAAAGGCTCTTTGACCAACACAAGTTCATGATTCTTAAACATTTTGTTCATCTTCACAAAAAAAAAAAAAAAAAAAACTTGTATGAATTCATTTCCAGAAGTAACTAGTGTAATACTGTATAAGATTTCCATTCCAACTGAAAGCATAAATCTAGGCTATGCACTGCTGCTTTCAGAGCAAAATGCAAAACTGAGACATTTCATTCAGTGACTGGCTACACTCAGCAGGCAGCGCATATATTTACTTGCCTGCCAAAATAAAATCATGCCAATTTTAGGTTTGAGAATAATGAAATGAAATGAAAATATAAATATTAGAATTGTATTTTTTAAGTATGCTATAAAATAATTGTATTTCTATCTAATACACACTTTGTAATTTAAAACATAATAGTATTAACACACTTAGAAAATGAATAACAAAATAAATAAAGTGGAATAATACTATTATTATTTTTTAATGCTATATTTAATGGGTCACACTATGTGCAGTGTGAGCACCAGACCAAATCTCCAGGTGCTCTCATGAGAACCAGACTGGAAAACTTATGTGAATCCCTGGCTATAAACAAATCACAGTTGCATCACCGCCACTAAACCTCCAAGAAATATTTCAATCTTTTTTAAAAATCTACAAGCTGGAAAGTTGAAGTTAGAATAGTTTGCAAGAGTTGCATTTGGCCACTTGTTTGCAACTGCCTTTTACAAGACATGTAAAAGCTTAATAAAATCACAAGTGGGGTATTAAAGGTGCAGTAGGAGATCTTGGAAAATGCTAACTTTAGCCTGATAGCACTGAAAGCGAACATCCCCCCCCTCCCTGCAATCGCCGTCCAAAGCCACGCCCCCTGAACACATTTATGCTCACAGACCAGAATACCAGAGACAACATTACTATAATAGGCTACATCAGCGGTTCCCAATTCCAGCCCATGTTCCGAAGTGAAGTAAACTTCAACGGATTTCCCCTGCTCAGGGAGTAGAGAGCAATGAACACTGTGTAGGGATCATATCGATCGGAACACAGTTCATGCACGGAGCTCAATTCTAATGAGCTAGTTATCTGAATCGGGTGTGTTAACTAAGCGAGACATGCAAAATATGCAGAGCTACATCATGCGTCATTCACCGGTGAGAAAACTTTAAAAGTACTACAATACCAGGAAGGAAGATCGGGTTGTTGATGTTTGTCTGCCATTCTCGCTCTGTCTGCCCAGCGTGCGTGAACGCACTGATGACGTATCTTGTCTGCGCGAACAGGGTGCGCAGAGGTATGTTAATACATTTGTTGACAGGCAGGTAGGAAAGCCAATTAAAACGCTCGTACAGAGCGTTTTGATTGGACGAACATTTCTTGGTCCTACGCCTTCCACAGAATATATAAATACAGATAAATACATTTAGACCACTCAACTTAATGATTGCTATCGGGATGTGAAGAGACTTTCAACCAGCATAACAAAAAATGTTTCTGAAGACAATCACCTGTTGAACCTTTAATGATGTATTTCATATTGACTAAAACGTGAAAATATCCTGAGTTTATGTTAACCTCATATTTCAGGCACTTAACCAAAAACCCATTCAAAAAAAATCAAACAGAACATTGACTTCAAGCCGTGGAACTGGAAGCGCAACAACTCATTTCTAGGTTTTATGACTAACTGCTGCAGCTCTCTAGACATTTTGGTTTAAATTAACATTTGTGTTATTTATTGTGACCTAGTCTCGCGTAGCCAGACCGTCTGGAATTCATGGCAGCTTTCATTGGCCAAGGCCCGCCCATGAGGCCGTTTGACCGACATGTCAAACAACCAACCACAGTTCGTTTCATTTCAGCATCACGCTTCGGGGCGTGAAAATGTCACCACAATAACAGACCGGTGTATAAAACTCTCGCACGTATTTTAAAGATTCTATGCCGCGAACTTCAAATATTTCACATACTTTTGAGAATCCAGCGTTTAGTTGATCCTGATCAGTGTTGTAAACACGACGGCTTTCTTCTTTCGTGAGTGGGTTTGGAGCCACGGCATCTTTGTTTCCAGGCGGAACGTTAAAGAACGCGACACACGTCTCCCTGAAATCCTGTATAATTCAACCAATCCGATGACCACTTCAAAACTCCTGATGCGTTTCCACTTTTGTGTGCCGTATGCATCAGATGTTCAGCTAACGGTCCGTGGGCGTGACGTCTGAGGCTGAGACTAATTGTGACCAAACATGAATAAACAAATTATATCTTACTTAACAGTGTTCCAGGGGCCAAGGTGTTAGGTGGCCCGTTTAGCCCCTGCTGGAGTTTAAAAATGGTGTACTTATGGAATGGAAGCGTACTTTGGTGAGACCAATTTTAATTGGTCTCACCAAAGTACAACGTGAAAGAGTGGTAAACCGCATCGGTAATAAACCTTGTTGTAATTGTCCTGGTTTAACTGCACCATAAGGGGTGCCAATGGCCAAAGTCTGCGCTTGCTAGAGAAAAACACATGGCACATGGCAATAACTGGGCTGGCAGTAGTTAACTTTAAAGGAATAAGAACTGCGTGACCCAGACCCAGGCCGTGACCCAGGCTCAGCTGGGGTGTGTTGTGCGCAGTCCTTCTGATGAACTTGACATGCACCGCATGAAGCAACAGCTCTTGTACACGCTTCACCTCACATGTACGAAGGGAGAACAAGCCTCGGGGGGGAACTCTCAGTCTTTTTGCAAAAGCAGCTATGAAAATACTAGAGAAACTCATGTGCTGTCTGTCGACCCCGGTGTGTGCGCTCAAGTGTTTTCTGTCCCGGATAAGTTAGTGGTTATGAAAGTATAACACAGTGTCTGCACTAAAGCCAAGCAGGAAAAAGTTGAGGGCGTTTCGGTATTGACTCTTGGCACTCGTGTGAGAATTTTCCACTGTGCGCTTTGCGTGCATGCTTACCTTGCACCCTTCGCAGGCGTGCACTCCATAATGGAAACCTGAGGCCCGGTCGGCGCAGACGCGGCACTCGAGGGCCAAAGAACCAGAGTTCTCGTCCTGAATCGTACTGGACGCAAACACTTCTGAGGACGGACTCGATGCCGGTGTTAAGACATCTACAAGACAAACACACCCACGGGCAATATGTATATATTTATATGATTTACACTGACACGGATGAAACATTTTTATATAATTTAAAGGCACAAATGAACCATAAAATTAATGCAAATATTTAATTCTTTAACTTGACAGATTGGTGCTATTTGAAGATTTTTTTAAGAAGCCCGATTAGGATTATTGTTAGGATTGTGTTTATGTCCATATGTTCTACCTAAGACAGTTGAGCTGTCTGCTGCAGTGTTGCTGCTCTGGTAGTCCAGTACGTGAAGGGAGTTGAAGGTATCGTCGCTGAGAGACTGAGAGATGTCCTCCAGCACCTCCATGTCACCAATGAGCTCTCCACACAGAGGGCTGTCCAGAATTGAATCGCCCAGCGGGCACAAGGGACTGTACAGGCTCGGCATGTCTACCATGGCGCTGGACCACAGCAAGCTTTGAATCATTCATCAGTCTGCAAAGACAAATCAATGGCAAGAAAAGTGAAGACTGAGTAAAGAAAATATGTTTCATATCTTTTAAAAGGCTGTAAGACACAGTACCCATATTACACTGGGTGTAATGGGCACACATGCAAAAAAAACAGTTTGCGCAAATAAAAGCAACTAACAATGGTTCGTTGTCTTTTTTTTTTACCATTAATGGTAAAAGATAATTTTTCATAGTTTTGCATTTACTTTTTATTATTTACATTGAAATAAAAAAATATATTTATTTTACTGAAAATTTAAAAAAAATGATGTATATTAGTATACTAAAATAATACATACATAGACCATTGCCATCAAAAAATATTATAAATTCATAAAAATAAATAAATAAAAGCAGTTATTTTAAAATAATTCATTTTAATGGTTATTTTATTCATTATTTTATTAATTTTAAACAGCACGATTTGATTGGGATAATACAAATGGAGTATCCATATATACTTTGTATGCAAACTGCAGCCTGGCTCAGTAACTAGAAGAAGTTCCATTCAGAGCAACGCTAAACCAGTGGCAGAAGTAACATGTTCAAGGACGGTTGTCAAGGAAACCCCAGGCACAGATATGGCAGCATTTTATTCAGACATGAGGGCACTGTTTCAATGGCTTTGGCCTGTTTTATCATTGTAGTGTGCTGCCATGTGAACTGATCAAAGAGTGCGACCAAAGACCGAGTGCTCCATCGACTGAAGTGACCTGAAGATTGGGTGCAAAAGATATTTCAGTGTAAAATCAAATTAGTTTCAATTTATACGTTTTTCAAAGAAACTGTGAGAGGGTTCCGGGGCGTTGTTATGCGGCTGCTAAGTAGTTTCAAGCAGTTTCAGGGCAGTTATTTTGATGCACTTAATTTGCTTGATATTATGGTATCATTTACGCACACACTATGACCGGATGTTCCAAGTGTGTGCAGGAGATAAAAATCCTCTACAAAAGAATTAACTACTCAAATGGATTCAGATGCTCTCGAGGGAATTTTTATGGCAGCTCAAGGGGTCTCGTGGACAACGGTTGAAATGCCATTCCCCTCAACCCTTTAATTTCTTACAGCAGTCACATGGAGAAGGCTAACCAATGCCAGACTCAGCGTTCAAACCCTTCTGCAACAGATCACTGTTTTTTGGAAGAACAACAATACACTTTACCTTCAAGTGACAAACACAGCCAATCTAAAAGGAAAAAAATAAAGAAATACTTTCCCTCTGTTGCAGGACCGCCCGTGCTAAAAAGCTGTTCACATCTGTTTGTCTCCAGCTGTAACCTAAGCACAGCGTGATCCTTCGGTCAATGCACATAGCCGTCCGCTTTCTCAGAACTGATTCTGCTTGTGACGCAACGTGCACAGTCAAGTGCAACAATAAGCGTTCCCACTGGAGAAACATACGGACTGCCATAACGACTGCATATTAGTTACTAAACTGCAAAAAAATCATTGTCGTAATCTGTTTTTTTTATATACATTATTTACATAAGCATGCTTAAAATTGACTTGAGAAGCAAAACTGCATCTAAATATTCCTGAAACAAGATACATTTGCTTGATAATTAAAACAGCATAAGGTAATACACTTGTAATAAAATACCTTTAATTTTTGTAAACATCCTTAAACTTTACTCGAGAAGCAAAAGTGCATCTAAATAGCCATAAAGGGGTCATATGATGTTGCTAAAAAGAACATTATTATGTATATTTGGTGTAATGAAATGTGTTTATGCGGTTTAAAGTTTAAAAAACACATTCTTTTTCACATACACTCTTAAAAATAAAGGTGCTTCACGATGCCATAGAAGAACCTTTTTGTCTAAATGGTTCCATAAAGAACCTTTAACATCTGAAGAACCTTTCTATTTCACAAAAGGTTCTTTGTGGTGAAAGAAGGTTCTTCAGATTATAAAAAGGTAAGAATGAGATGGTTCTTTAAAGAACCTTTGACTGAATGGTTCTTTGTGGAACCAAAAATGGTTCTTCTATGGCATCGCTTGAAGAACCTTTTGAAGCACCTTTATTTTTAAGAGTGTACTGTACATTATTGTTTCTCCTCTATGCCCCGCCTTTCTGAAACGCATCGATTTTTACAAAGCTTAGGAGGGCGTGGCTGACTCTTAACTTTTATAAAGAATATCTCTTTGGTTTTGAGACTTTAGTCTTTGCAACTTTACAGATCTTCTTTATGCACCAAAAGCTTGTGACACTCCAAAGAGAAAGGAAAAATTGAAATCGCATCATATGATTGTACTTGATAATATTATTGCATAAATATATATTGCATTGCATATATAATATATATATATATATATATATATATATATATACTGGCTACAGAAGGATTATAGTATATTGACTGTATATTAGTCAAAACACTGCAAAAGAAAAAAAAAAAATTTTTGGTCTTGTTTTACAGTTAATATAAACATATATAAATATATAAACATGTTTAAAAGTTACTTGTTTAACATAAGCCTCATGCTTAAACTAATATTTTTGTATTTTTATGTAAATATTTAGATTTATGTAAATATTTATACAAATTTAGATTTGTCTTTATACCTTAAATGCAACTATGTCTCAAGCAAATTTACTTTTAAAATACTTTTAATTTCATTTAATGCATTTTTTTTGTAAAAAAATAAAATAAATAAAATAAAATATATATATATATATATATATATATATATATATATGTAAATAATTAAATTTGAACTTTAAGCAAATTTACTTTACTGAAATGTATTTATTTAAATGTAGTGTATAGTTTATTTTTACTAGAAACTAGACAATTGATTTATTTGTATTTATTTGATTAGATTTTTTTGCAGTGTAAGAAGCCAGCCATTCACAGTAAACAAGATTATGCACGTACCATGCGTTTGAGTGTGACTGCATTTGTGTATTAGGGTGCGAGACAGAGAGCGATAAGCTGAAGCTACTATATTTATTCAGTGTAAACCCAGACACTCACATGGGCACACATACGCATGACTTGAGCCTCATGACAACGAGCAGGAGCCAGGAGAAGTGTAGGAGAGACGCCAGCTTGCTGTAATGGAAAAGTGCCCATGGAGACCAGCTGAGCCATTAACCAGCTAAACCAAACCTCACAGACGCTTCCAAACTACACTCAATTCTACACAAATATCTCAACGGATGCATAGGATTCAACACCTCCCTGTTCCTAACAGATGTTATATCCACTGATGAGCGCACATTACAAAACAAGAGCCGAACAATAACACATGAATGCGCAAGAGGAATCCTCAATGAGTCCTATTAAACAACACGAACAAGACTGAGTCACGGAACGGTTGAACAAAAAAAATATATATATTTTGTCTTATTTTCCCGTAAAACAAGATAAATCTGCATATGGTATCAAGCTATGTTTAAAAAACTTTATTATTAATGAATTAAGTCTGCTCTTGAAATATAACTGGAAAAAAAGAGATACAATTCTCAATAAATATATATATATATATATATATATATATATATTATGTCATTTTGCTTGTCGAGTAAATGTTTCTCGTTTTAATTATGTTTAGATATTTTTACTGCAAAACAGAGCAGAGCAAGGTTTGTGTGTTTCTCATTCTGGCTAGAGAAGGACACACACATAGCCTACGTGCTGAAGAGGAGGAGGCCTGTTGTGGAGGGTCACAGCTGACCAATACAGGCTGATTTACCCCCTCCTTCCTGGTGGATCTTTACTGACTGTCCGGTTTGACCGTGTAGTCACAATACAGCAGTCCCTGAGGGTATTTTAGATCCACAAGAAGACAATGAATGTCAATGTACTTAAGCCTATCCCAAAAACATAGTAGTGCAGTGTTTTACAGACAGGCCAAATTGATCATTATTTCAGAACCAGCCTTGGACTCACTGCGAAACTGCATAAGACAACAGACGTAAAGCAAACACATCTGTGTAGAAATTTCCACTACATCAGCCAACTAGCAATGACCAAGCAGAATCTCTACCCACTGGATAGAAACAACAGATCTGAAGTATAAACATCAATCTGTGACCACAGACCATATGTGAGCTGGTTTCTGAAAGAAATATTGATTCAGCACATGATAAAATGCACGTCTTCCTAGCTGCACGTGCAACAAATATTTCTCTCCATATTGGCTGTGACTATTTGGCAAAAATAAAGACAAGTCTATTTGCTCAGTGTTGGTCAATGGGTCAATGACATGATTTTTTTTTCTCTATTGATTACTCAAAAATGCATGAAAATGCATGTGATAGAAACATTGAATACACCTGTTCTGTGATCTGGGGGGGGGGGGAAGTATCATTACAGCTGTCCTGATATCGTAAAGAAAAATCTTTATTAATAAAAAGAAAGAAAATAGATTAGCATTATTTATTCTTAATTAATTAATATGTATTTTAATTATTATTATTATTTCTAAGAAAAAATATTTTAGTAATTATAATTTTGTCCCTACATCAAAGTCATAGGATGCAACCGACATGCAAACAATAAATGGAAATCTAGATAGGACCCCTTCAAGACCCTCATGATTGTGACATTTTAGAAACTTAAAACCATTTTATTACAAGTTAGTTCGGCTTGTAAAATGTCACATAATACAACTCCTCAAAAACATAATTATATTTCTGAATTGATAATTATCATATAAAAAAAAAAACATTATATTGAAAAATATACTTAACAACTAAAAATAATGATCAAGATGTGTAGACTCGCATGTATTCAAAGTGTAAGGAAATACTTTTTCCTAAAAACGGCAAAAAGTTCTTAAAAATGTGAATAGCAACAACAACGTGGTTTAAACGCAAATGTTTAAATCCCTCTTATTTGCCATTGACTCAAATATAGCTACAACAAAGCAGCACACCGTTAAGGAAAAATAGTGTCGAGGCAGAAATGCACACAATGGCTGTGAGGCCTTTGCTTAAAGCAGACAGCACAATTCAAATCATCACATAAGCACAGCA